CTTTTATTCATTTTTATTTTCAGCCAGCAGGGGGCCACCTGTCATTACAGGCAGCCCCCCTGCTGGCAATGCTGCAGCCAGCTACCCCCGGCCGTGTGATTGTGGGGTCCTCGCAAGGACCCCACTCTCACATGGCCGGGGGGCTTCCAGCAGGACGGAGGTGCCGCGGGGGGCTCCCTGGGAGTCCCCTGAACCGCGATCGCCGGCATGGGATCGCCGCGACCGGGTAAGTACCGAAAGACCGGAGGGCGTACTATTACGCCCGGCGGCGTTTAGAGCCGCTTAGAATAGGGCGTAATAGTACGCCCTCCGGTCTTAAGGGGTTAAGCAGACTGTGATTGTCTATTGTTGTGACTTAGATGATGATCAGATCACATTTTATGACCAATTTGTGCAGAAATCCATATCATTCCAAAGGGTTCACATACCCTGTATACACACACAGATACACATACAGAAACACACAGGTACAGACATGTAGATACACAAACATGCACAAACAAATGAACATACACACAAGTGTAAACACTGACATATAGTTAGATACACACAGACACACATACAGATACACAGATGAACAGATACACTCACAGATACACATGCAGATACAAAGACACACACACATAAAAACATATATATAGAAACACTTGCACTCCTTTAGATCAAAACATACACAGGAACAGACATGCAGATACACAGACACACACAGACAGATACACATACAATGGCACAGAAACACAGATAAACACAATGACCTTCATAGACATACAAACACTGACACACACAAAGATTCACAGCAGCACACACTGATGCATATACAGACACACCGATAGATGACATGCAGATGCAAATACAGACACACAGATAGATACAAACACACACACAGATGTATATATACACTGTGACGGAGCTCCTCTTCTCCGACTGAGTACCTCTACCAAGTCTGCCTCCTAGCTGCTTGCCTGGATGCTGGAACACTTCAGCCCCAGTCGCCGAAGCTTGACTGGAGTCTCTCTGGAGCTCATTCCAGGCAGGCATCATCCCCTTTGCCTATTCCTCTGCAGTTGTTATGTTTGTTATATATTTGATAGGAGGAACAACACAAAAACAGAAAATAGAGTCAGCGTTAGTTGTATCAAAAGAAAGAAAAAGGCAACAATCCCAAACAAGGACTCCCTCACGTGTCCTTGAAATAAATGGAGAAGGCAAACATGTCTATTTGACAGGATGAGCCCAGGAAGCAGGAATGAGCCAAGTCGAGGTACCAACGAAACAGAAAAAGTTGTAGTCAGAGAAAGTGGAGGGTCAGATACCAGATAAGTCAAACAAAGCAGGATAGACACACTGAAGTTAACACCACAGTAAACACAGTATAACTGAACACTGGGAACATGGTGGGATTGGATTTTATAGCAGAGAGGTTTAGACTGCTCCTATTTCATTGGTTAATTGGTTGAATTGATTTGAGGCATCTGTCCCTTTAAGAGGTGGTTCTATAGGGGCGCATGCACCTATGATTGTTTGGTGTGATTGGCAGTGGGCCACGGCGAGAGGGGAAGAGCCGTGGCACCGCTGTATTATTAGTGCCTGGTCTCCCCCCTCAGCGGTAAACACGTTGGAGGGTGCGGCATGCACCAAGGAGGGACTGTGCCGGCCACCGGAAGAGACGCACCGCCAGGCAGGTATCGTCCCCCCTGCATATTCCTCAGCAACGCTGCTTATAGTAATTGAGATGCAAATATCTTTGGATATTGGCTCTCAGGCCTAGCTCTCTTTACCCCTTGGCTAGAGGGATTGTGCAACCAGCCAACCGTCACTGGGATCCCTAAAAATCCACACAGGACACACAATTCCAAAAGGAACTAGCATGCAAAGCTTTATTTTTACTTGGGACTAGGCCATATGATCATTACATAAAGCTTATGGTGATACACTCAAATAAAACATAATACAAGAAACATACAGGCACTCATAATAACACATAAACATATTAATAAAGGGGTGGGGAAGACAATAATTAACACAAAATATCTAACCTGCCTACAGGATTAGCAGTATGCAAATCTACCTGGATATGCAAATTAACAAGCCTTTCTATTCAGGTAGTGCATTTAGCTATATCTACCAACAGATGGCGATATGCAGGCTCCCTAGCCAAATCCACTTAGTTGGTAGCAAGCATCAGAAGGACAGGCACACATACAAAACATTTAACCCCAAACAACCACATTACACACACCCTGCTCCCACCATGGGCACAGGGTAACTTATAAATAAGATTCATCCAGAGACATAATTGAACTGTCCATCTGCAGCTCCTGGTGATGGCGACTACTGTCACACACACAGATAGAAACACAGACACATAGATATTCATACCGACACAGAGATAGATACACAGATACGCATACAGACATGCAGATAGATACACAGATACACATACAGACACACATGCAGATAGACAGACACACAGATACCTATCCTCCCCCTCCTATATGTTTTAGGAACAGTGGTGGCAGCTAGAGGCAGTATTGAGTCTGTGTTAGTATTAGGTGTTAGGGGTAGTTGTGGAAATTTAGGATCAGTAGTGGGAGGGTTAGGAGATGAAGTGGGGTTTGGTGGTTTAGTTGGACAGATAAAAAACAAAAAAACAAAAACAAAAAACAAATGCAGTTTCTTACCCTCTCTCTGTGGCTTACCTTGGGCATGTGTGTGTGTTTGTATGTATGTATGTGTGAGTGTGTGTGTGTGTCTGTAGGTATGTGTGCCTGTGTGTATGTGTCTCTGTGCGTGTCTGCATGTGTATCTATTTGTCTGCATGTGTGGGGAGGGAACATATGGAAGGGGGAGGGTAGAGGTATGGGGGGTTGCGGGGGAGGGGGGACATATGGGAGTGGGAGTATAGACGTATGGAGGGAAGACAGGGCAACTTTCGCATCCGGGCCCCATGGTTTCTAGTTATGCTTCTGGCAGAAATAGATATTCTGTTGGAAAAACAAACATGATGCAAAACAGAGGAAGAACGATAGCCCACTTAATTTATCGGGCAATCCAATACATTGATTAGAGCTTAAAATAGGACATGTATGCTGTCTAAAATATATAACTGCATTTAAAATCAAGAAAACCACTCTAGCCAACTTTTCTGTCTCATTATGAGAGAGTTGCATAAGTGATTATTTTGTTCTTTCCCTACAGCACCTACTCTTCCATTTTATTCCCCAGGAGCACATAGCCCCATTCATGATATAATTTGTGGTCAAGTCAGACGTTTAGCTATTTCGACCTGGAATTTGCAGTTCTCTTGTTAAGGTTTGAATCTAAGTTGTTAATGAGGGAAATAAGACCCTACACTGAAGAGCCAGTGAACATGAGATGGGTGGAGGATTATTTATGTACTGCAAAGGGTACATTTTATGTTTAATGGGTGTGTTGCAAACCTAAACTGATGGAGTTTCAAAGGTAAAGAGCAGTGTGGGAGGAATAAGCTGCGACTGAGCGGAGGCTGCGATGTTCAGACAGAGTAGGAGGTCTGCAGGAATGCACAAAAACACCATCATAAAAATTTTTGTTATTCTGTTTATGTTGTAACACACTACTAAATCATCTGCTCTTGAACACCTTTTAAGTCAAATTAGAAGTCATATTTCATAACGCTCTAACAATATTTACTTTCCTTGTGTTAAAATGTCCTCATCATTTTTACCCGGCTTGGAATTACCATTCAAGTCCTATATGACTATATTTGACTATTTTGTAGAGGTAGTAGAATGTCTGGGTCTCATTAGAAATATTGCTGTAGACAGTCAACCCAAGTATATTAGTGTCTAAACGATGATCAGAAGGAGGCCAATCCATAAGTCAGCTAATGCCCATTATAGAGTGCAGCCCAGTGCAACAACTGTGACAAAGAAAATAGCCTCAGCCAGAAGCAAAACAATTCCATCAGGATCTACTATAACCCATTGACTGCAGGGCATTGGAAGCACTGGGAGAGGAGTGCATATGTGCTGCTTAAAAAAACAAGACATATTTAGAGTTTGTAAGAGATGCGAATTCTACTTCCGGACCACAATTTTAATCAGAGTGTCTAGAAAATTGTAAACTTCTTCCTCCATTCCATGAACAGAGGGGTAAAGGATATAAATAATGCCAGGTGGTCCCCATGACCCCAGCCCAATGATAAATGAAGTGGGAAGGTGCAAAGTACTCTTATCAAAATACCTCTTGTCCTGTTTTAAAATGCAAAACCCATATCCAAATCCAATATCAAACCAAAGGATGCCCAGTCTAATAGTCCCTACAATGGAGCCTTTTACCTCACCTGCACTATGATGTTGTTGGTTTATTATTATTATTATTATTATTTTAATTTGTATTTTTATTGTGGCATTCACATATGCAAACACACAGGTAGAAAGCGCTTTTAGCCACATCGATTAAACAAATATAGACATGCATAGTGTAAGTACATCGCGGAACACAGACATAGCTTCTAGTCTATCTAAATCCTGGCTAGTCCTATATGCACTGTTATATGATACGCTAATTAGACACAACTAAGACTGCTTCATGAGGGGGTATGGGGAACCTGAGAGATTCTAACAGATAACATCTGCTATCTGTATTTAACCTAAGCTTCTTCTGGTTAAGTACACATCATTTTAAGAAATTGAGCAGAAATCAGTATATAGAAAGAAGTTATGCATCGTAAACTCTAATACATAGAGTAGGTAGGTGCATGCTGCCGCTTCTAGCGGATCTCAGGTGCCAGTCGGTATCTGTGCCTCAGCTCCTCGCTGCGATTTGTGGTAGAATGGCTGAACTATGTTTACATCCCAAGAAGTAACAGTATGTGCCAGTGAGGTGGTCGGTGACGGCACCAGGAAGGAGTTTAGTATCGGTAAGTCCAGTTCCCTTAAGAGACGCTCTGCCTCCGAAATATTACTGAGTGGCATAGTTTTCTCTGCATAGGTCACCATTAACTTGCGACCTGGTCCCTAGCGGTACTTGATGTCTTCTACTCTCAGTTGCTTGGTCACTGGTTGTAGGGATTTTCTCCAGAGTATCGTGGTCTCGAGGTCTGAGCCCTCAAAATGGTAGGTGGGTGCAGCTTTCATTGAGGCCTGTATAAGCTGTTTGCTCTGCAAGGACTGGAAACAGAGCACTAAGTCCTTTGGGATCCTGGCCAGGGCTTTAGATGATTTAGGGACCCAATAGTTGTAGTCCAGTGGCATAACTTTGGCCTTGGATGGGGATAGCATAGAGCTCAGCATTCTATGTAGGTAGTGGGGTACATCATTATTAGTTATATCCTCAGGCACCCCACGGACCTGCAGGTTTCGTTGCCGCTTGGAGTCTTCCAGGACGGCCAGCCTACCCTACATAGAGATATTGGCGTGTTGTAGCCTGTTCACTTTGGCTTCCAAATCTTCTTGTTTGCCTCTGGTGATATCACCATTTTCCTCCAGTGCTCACATCTGGGCTGTCATCACCCCTATGTCCTCTCGGACCAGCGCGATGTCGGCCACAAAGAAGGCTTTAATCTCTTTTAGCATGTTTTGTATATCAGCTTTACTGGCCGGTACATGTCCTGGACGGGTTTCATGGCTTGACCGTCTGAGCAATGCTTCACATTCAGTGAGCATGAGGTTCCTGCTTGTTTCTCTCCGCTCAGCAGGATACCGAGAGTTCTTGTTCACTCTCCTCCGAGGTTAGATCAGAGTCTTCCTGTGCGGGCGCCATCTTTGAAGGCCGCTGTGGTTTGTTTATTTATATCACCAGGAAAGCCTCACATCTATGTGATGTGAATGCTGAACAATCACAGAACAGATCTTCAATCAACACACTGGTAGGTCAATATTAAATTATTAATTTTACTGTTACTATTCATCTATTCATGATTTGTGTTGTGACCCCCACTAATATTTATTAGAAGGGGAGTGGTAGTTAAGGAATATTGTCACTTTTTTTTCTGTCTTTTGTTTGTCTGTCTTTCATAATTATCAATGTATGATTTTTAACAGGTATTTGCTGTCTTTCCTTCTGTCTCAAAATCCTCTAATGTGTGGTTTCTTAGGTTTTAGAAACTTTTTTTCTTAAATAAACTGCATTTATGTCAGTGAATACTGGAATGACTTTTGAAGCAGAGTGGAATTACAGAGGTATGGAATATGTAGGCGACAGTACAAGGAAATTTCATGAGAATAAAAGAAGCATACATGAATGTCAGAAACAGTGAGTGGGAGAGCTTTGAAAATTCAGTTTGAGAAGTATGGAGCATATCGTCAAAGCCACGTTGCAGTGAAAGTGTAGACAATATTAGTAATTCTTAAAGCCCTAAACCATGAGAGGTAAAGTTTATTGTCTAGACTTCCAATATCCATCTCAAAAAATGAGCAAGTATTTTCTTTTGTTTAGTCAGAATTGTAAATGTTTACTCACAAAACCATTCCCTTTCCCTTATCAACTAGACTTGTGCGTGGTGGAAAAAGTTGGTACAGCCAAACCATTTTTTCTGAAAATTAAAATCGTTCAGGACCTCCAACACTCGTTCATTTGATAATTTGGCTCGTCCGGATATCGTCCATGAAAAATAATTGGGAAAGTTATTTGGGTGGACAAAAAAAAGGTACTAGTGGGCCAATACGTGTACTGCAGAATATATAAATATGAATATTATGTATATATTTTGCAGTACTCATATAGGCGCATATTTCCACTATTTGGTTCATAGATCAAGTGAGAAAAAGTAACCGTGTAACCAACAGCAGCATAAAGAGAAGGAACAGTAAAAAAAATAAATCTTTATTTATATATTATATATTTATTAAATACATAATATGTAAATATAGATTTTATTTAGTGGTTAGCCCCTAGCCATCAATTGTTTTTATTTTTTTCCCACCAATTATCTCTTTTATTGCCACAGTTGGAACTCTTGCTTATCCGTCACCCTAGATGGGCGCATTGAAGATTTAGAATCTAGCTGAACCACCGATTGTCCTAGATTTAGAAGAGTTGTAATTCAGTTGAAACCTAATGTTCACGTCTACTATAAACCAAAACTTACAGATTCAGGTAAAGTAAAAATTTAGAGTATCCACTCACTGTGAACCCTGCCAAGTGTCCCTAAACTCAAGCATATATTGACACCCATATGTGTTGTCTGCTTTTCATTCAACATATATTTCTGTAAATAGGGAAATAACCTTAGTTTCATAGTTTGCTATATGATTTCTTCACATTCTAGTATGAGATATATTTTTAGCTCACGTTTGCTGCTATAGAGGGAGTCTCTACCATGTGCTTATCAAACTAAACCACTCACCAAATTTTTGAAAAACTCCTCTGCTCAGGAGTTCAGCCCCTGTTCAGCTCTACATAAGCCATTTTTACTAGGGATTAGTCCATCTCTGGGTTACCGTTTAAACTTAGTGAGAACACAAGAAATAACATTGGACAAAAGGTTAAGAGATGGACCGGTGGTTAGTTTCCACTGAAGTTACGAAAAATTCAGAGGAGAGTGCACTAGCGATTAATCTTCCCACTAATGAGTTTTCTGTGCATTTCTCGGTGATAACTTGGTAAGCACCATAGAATATACTAGCTGAGGTTTTGCACATTAGAGGAGAATCTAATTGTTTTCTTGTTTTGTTTTACTTTGCTGTATTTGCGATTTTGGAAAGTTCCTCCTATTTACCAGCCGGAAGAAAAAGATTTTGTGAACAATATTTCATTTATTCACTTGACTTAGTCTATATACGACATGAAAGGAAAACTATTTTAGATCTACTTGTTTAACTTGATCGTCTAGATAGCAGCATGATATGTCATTTTTATTACCTGCCAGAATCCCTAGAAAGAGGTAAACATACGCGGTATGTATATGAAAATGAAGAATAATGAAGAAATATTTTGAAAGTAAAAGACTAAATAAATATGCTAAGTCACCATGTGGGCTATGTATAAATGTTTCCATGAGATAAGGATGTTTCTGTCTCTCTTTGCACCAGTGAACTTTACAAGGAACTATACCGTATATTACAAATAAGAAAACAACACATCTTTCAGCAGCAGTGTCCATTTATTGTGCTATAATTAAAGAAGGCAACATTTCGACCCAAATGTAGGTTCTCTAAAAATATATATTTGTGTCAAAATGTTGCTCTTTTCTGTTATGGTACAATAAACAGGACCATGTTAACCAGAGGCGGCTCTCTGATTAGGCGGTTTAGGCGGCCGCATAAGGCCTCGCGCTGGCTGGGGCCTAGCGGCCGCCTAAACTGCCTGTAGGCAGACTGTGTCAGGTCCTCGGTCAGTGACCGAGGACCTTGACACCAGGAGGGGGCACGGCGGCTTGCCCCGTATGCCGCAGGGTGCGATGCCCCTCCTGGCTGCCCGGCCAGCCATCGCAGACACTGGTCTGCAGCTCCGCAGTGAGCAGAGCTGCAGACCATGTGTCTCGCGAGAATTGACCAATCAGAGCGTTGCCACGGGTTACCACAGCAATGCTCTGATGGTCTCGCGAGATTACATGGTCTGCAGCTCTGCGGAGTTGCAGACCGGAAGCAATGGCACCGGACCACCAGGGAGCCCACTGGACCACCAGGGAGTAAAGGTAGGTTCTCTCTCACCCCCCTCACCATCACCCACCCACCACCCTCAGCCTCAACACCCCACACCACCCTCAGCCTCACGACCCCCCACCACCCTCAGCATCCAGCACCCCCCACCACCCCTCGCACCCCCACCACCCTCAGCATCACCCCCACCACCTCAGCACACTCACCCCACACCCCAACCTCAGCCTCACCCCACACCACCCTCAGCCTCACCACCCCACACCAACCTCAGCCTCACCACCCCCCACCACCCCTCACCCCCCACCACCCCTCAGCCTCACCCCCACACACCACCCTCAGCCTCACCCCCCACACCACCCTCAGCCTCCCCACCCCACACCACCCTCAGCCTCACCACCCCACACCACCCTCAGCCTCCCCCCCCACCACCCTCAGCCTCACCCCCCCCACCACCCTCAGCCTCACCCCCCACCCTCCACGGCATCGCTCCCCCCACCCTCAGCATCACCCTCACCCCCTGTGCCACCCGCCTCAGCATCACCCACCCTCACCATCACCCACCCTCACCCATCACCCTCCCCACCACCATCAGCATCACCTCCCCACCACCCTCAGCATCCACCCTCAGCCTCACCCACCCTCACCATCACCATCAGCCGCCCTCGCCCTCACCATCAGCCACCCTCACCATCAGCCGCCCTCACCATCACCTGCCCTCACCATCAGCCGCCCTCACCCTCACCATCAGCCGCCCTCTCCCTCACCATTAGCCGTCCCCTCCCTCACCATCATCAGCCCCCCTCCCTCACATCATCAGCCCCTGCCTCACCATAATCAGTCCCCCCCCCTCACCATCATCAGCCTCCCTCACCATCATCAGCCCCTTTCACCATCATCAGCCCCCCCTCCTCACCACCATAAGCCCCCCTCCACCATCATCACCTCCCTGTCACCATCACCCGCCCTCTCACCATCACCCGCCTCTCCTTCTCACCATCACCCCCCATACACACAACACACTTCAAGCAGCTACCCCATACACATAGGGTCTCAGACAAAAACGCAAACATGCTCACAGAGACACACACACACACACAAGGATACTCTCTGTCAGACACACTCTCAGGCACATACACATGTAAACTGTGTATATGTGACACTTTTTTGTTAGTGGGACCTCATGTTTGAGTTTCGCCTAAGGCCTCATAAAGTCTAGAGCCACCTCTGATGTTAACCTTCCTTGCCACCCCAAGGCAATTTTCTTCAATGCAAGCACCCTCCAAATCCCTTCATATACATATATATATATATATACAACATGTTTGATGTATGTGATCAGATGGATCAATGGGACTAGTTTGAGGTACGTGATTGAATTGGTGAAAGTGATTAGTTTGGGTAAATAAGTGATTAGATGAAAGTGACACGTTTTGGGATATGAATGGATGATGATTCCATTGGATGTGGGACAGGGCTGGGAGAGGAAGTGTGTATGTGTCCATGTCTGCAGAATCTGGTAGTGGGGGAAGCTGTTTGTAGTGTTATATGTATAATGAAGGGGCAGCATGTGTGGGGCAGGTTGTCATGTGTGGGAGAGGCTGGTTGTGGTGTTGCATGTGTGAGGAGGCTGCCTGTGGAGTTGTATGTTTGTGGGGATAGTACATGTCGGGTTGCATGTGTGTGGGTGGCTACTTGTGATGTTACAAGCTTCTTATAGTTCTGCTTGTTTCTGGGGATGCTGCATGTCGGGTTTTGTATGATGTTAGGAGGCTGTTGTGGGGTTGTGTGTCTCTGTGCATGGATCTGTTTAGAGTGTAGTATGTGTGCAGATGAATAAGGTCTGTATGTGGATAAGGCCTGTAGCGTGTGCATATTGTGAGTGGTGATGTATAATGTGTTTGGGAGTAAATATGGTCTGTAATGTGTGTTTAGGAGAATATATATAAATAGTTTATTCCTCCTGATATAGTCTATCCCTCCACCCCCATTTGTTTACCTTAGGCTAGAGAAAGGGGAATACGGATACCTGGTGGCTCAGTGGGTGCATCATCTGGTCCATACCT